TAATGAATTGTTGTCATACATCATTATTGTTGTTGTCATTGTGTGGCATAAGGTAATGGTAATCAGTCCTTCATTGGACTGGTTGGTGTCTTTTATCTTTCAAATGACAACGTACAGTAAAGATGGCAAATGCATTGGTCTTAGGAAGTGTTGTGGTACTCCATACAACATATTTCACCTCCCAATGTACAATTAATTAATGCATCAATTATTATTAGTATTAGTTTTAATACATTTATTACATGATATTATTGAAGGATGGTGATGTGGCTAATTTTATTTTATACATTTATAGTACTTGCATGAGCAATTACTGTAAAATTACAATTAAATTGCAATTGTATATATGCATACAATTTTATTTGCAGCATTCATTTAGATGTACGTGTATTTTAAAGAGCACCATTTTCTCATTAAATTGTATTGTTTGATATTCTTATGAACCTGTTCAGTCAGTGTGATTAAAATACACATACTGTATTTTAATGATTAAATGCCTGGATGTTTATTTTATAACAACAAGAAAAAAATTCATAGAAAAAAAATAAAAAAAGAAAATTTGGGCGGGACAGAACCCACAACCATTAGCAAACCAGACCAGGACTCTTAGCTATCAGTACATTGGAGCTATTTAAGCAGTGGAGGTATTTAAGCAGTGGGGCATTACTTTTGGTATAAATATCTGTATCTATAGCTAGAATATAATTGAGACGAGCATTTATTTGGACCAGACATTTATACAGTAAAATACAGGATATTTATTGTTCCTATTATTATGTTCCTATTATTAATAGGTCTAGTTCTTCCAATACTTCTAAGAAGTCATCAACTACCACTACTGCTGGTGGGCGGGGCTCACAGCCTCAAGCAACTCGTCGGAGCCAATCAGACGAGAGATCTGATACTCTTAAACTAGTGAAGGACTTTTTGAATCCTCAGCCACCACCTGTAACTCAAGCCACGCCCACTCACACAACGTCCAAGCAAGACAGACTGACGGAAGAGGTGGTGGAGAGGAAAACTACCACAATAATAGATGAACTGTCACAGAATCAGGACTATAAGGTATAGTGTGTAGTGTTTAATGTAATAGTTAGTGTACATTTACATCACAATACAGTAATAATTAGGTCAAAACCTATGGCCATTTTACCATGTATACATGTATACTATACTATATCCCAGTTCAGAGAGACCCAAGGTTTCACAGATTTTGATGGACTTTGGCGACTAAAAACCTGTGAAAATTTCATTCTTATCCCACGTTCCTATAAAAAGTTATTCCAGTTTTTCTTGTCCCAAACTCAACTGGGATATAGTATACATACTACCATATTGTATTTATATAGCTTCAATTTGTTTCATGTACATAAGTGTACATGTGTTACATGTGTGTATAGTATGAATGTACTGTTAAGAAATAGGCCGTTTTCTGAAAAGTACCCAAGGCTATAGCCCATGCTTTTTTTCAAAAAATGGTTCCGAAATCACCCCCAATTTTTATTACATTTTAAAATACATATTGATGCCCTTATGCTGTGTAGAAAGTTTGAGCAGATTCCGACTTAAATTTTTCAAGTTATGACCATTTTTTTTTTAAACTCCAAATTTCAAAATACCCAAGGCTATAGCACATGGTTTTTCCAAAAATTGGCTCAAAAATCACCTCAAATTTTTATTATAATTTGAAATACATATTGATGTACTTACATTTCATGCTATGTAGATCTAATCTAGCTATGCTACATTACTTGTTTTAATTCCATAGGAAGCTGTAGAGTGTGTGATAGAGTTAGAGTCTCCTGGTCTAATGAACGTGTTTGTACAGACTGGCATCAACCACTCACTGGAGAAATCATCAGCAGTTCGGGTATCAGTTGGGAAACTGTTTGATACATTAGTAGCAAAGGATCTATTAACAACTGAGAAATTAATATCAGGGTAAGTGGAATTACATGTACAGTATAGTCTCTCTTAATGGACACTCTCTATAGCGTACACCTCCATTTAACGGACAGTACCTAGTGTACCAATTACATTCCTTACTGTATAAAATAACCTCCACATAAAGGACACCTCTGTATAACAGAGACACTTTACTGTCCCAAAGTCTCCATTATATAGAGGCTACACTGTATACAATATATGTACATGTAATTGCTGTATATAAATGCACATAGCTAGACCCCATTGTGTTTATTAGTGTTCGATGGGTCGTAGAACATGTGCTATATTAATGACTGCTGGTCAGATATTTCGCTGACACTATGATACTAATAATGAATAGAGTTAGATAGTAGAGTCTGACACATAATAATAACAACAATAATAACCTACATGTACATCTAGTTGTTGTGATTTAAAATATAATTGTTTGATTGATTTATAGTAAGCTGCTACTGTACATGTATATTGTGCCATATTCCAGGCGATGTATCTTGGGGAATATCAATGAATGATAGCAATAAATAAAACTGTACTTGTTCCTGTGTGCATGACATATTGCGTGTGTTGTTGTGATGGTTGGCAGTGGTTATTTGACTTGTAATGTATTGGAAAAAAGAAAAGGGGGATCACTGGGACCTGCTTAATAATCCTTCTTTTTGGTATTTGTGTTTTATGATTTTTTTGGTATTTTAAGATTTTGGTAGTTTAGGAATCTTTTTGGTATTTTAAGATTTTAAATCAGTTGAATTGCTGAGCAATGTCAAAGCACTGCATCAG